TTTTTCAAGCCTTTGCACAAAAAAGCAACATGCTTCAAACATTTCTTCATTTGCTTCTTCCAGTGCATTGTGTCTTTCTGCTAAAGGTTCTTATCCTGCTATATTGAAGCACTTGCTTTTCTATGTTCTTCTTTAACATGAATTACATTACAAGAGCTACCAAATTTGGCATAATTTAATTTAGACGTGGGGGAGCAAAGGAAATTTGCCAGCCCTTGTAAGATTAAGATCAAGAGTTGGACAGAAAATTTTTCCTTCCAGCTTCATTTTTTTCATATTATTTCCTTCAATAATCATGCTATTATCAAATGGTAGCAAAGAATAATTAATAATTATTATTACTCTGCCCTGGTTCAGGGCAAGAAGCCAAAGTTTATAAATTTCTCTATTTTTATAAATAGGTGCTCTGCAAACAGCATAGAAATAGGACATTCAAATCATTTTAGTTTTTGAGTAGTTTTTGAGATGCCTTATTCAGCTTATCATATTACTGCTATTTTTTTTAATTTTTCCATGATAATATTTAACTGCAATTCATCCTGAGCCTAAGAGCATTTTTGAAATTGTGAGAAAAAGGGCTCAAGGTCAAAAGTGAAGGAATCGAATGTTTTCCAATAACAACGTTTGATTGATAGAAAAATTACTGATCAGTTTTGCAATTAGCTTGTTAGGCACAGAGAGATGGAGTCAAACAAGGACAGGTTTGGCCATTCTTCTCACAGTCTAGGGAATGGACAAGGTTCAATTTTCATAAGCTTGGTGCTGTCAGGAGCTTCCATAGGACTGTCCATGCAGACACAACTTTGGCCACTTCCCTTAGTCTTTGAAGAGAACTATGTTGGACCTCCATGAGACCAGCAAATGCGCTTGGGAATCAATAGATGATATTTGCGGGAAGACTCTATCTTCCATGCAGACCCTACAAGAGCTTTCAAAGGGAGGGACTCTGGCTGGGACAGTTAGTCAAAGCCTTTTGAGCAAGGATCAGGTTTACAGTAAAATGGACGTCATGACCAAAGACCACATCCTGACTGGTGATAGCTTTAGCAAGCGTTAAATGTCAGGCGTGTCTCTCAGGCCACATGCTTGCCCATTGAAAAAGGCTTGCCCACAAGCCCTTACCACAGGTGGCAGATTCTGAGTGTAGAAGGATGGCTTTTCCTCTACTCCTCCTGTCCAAAATGGGAGACTTATGTGGTGAGCATGTTGGCAATGTATTTTCCAGAAGTCACATCTGGAGACATAGCAATAACACCTGCTCTTCAGCTTCAACAGTGTAAGGCTATGAGAGCCCTAAAAAATGACCATGAGCCCTGCATGCTTTCAAAGGCCTCTTGGTTGCTATTGCTGCCGGCAGCCTTGCTTGCTAGGAATCAGAGCCTAAGGAGACCAGGATGGCATATATGGCTTCTCAGTGGACTCACAAACCAAACCTTCTGCATGTAAGTGCTTAACAAGGGTGTCTTGTCAGCTTGTGTGCTTGCTTGGTTGGTCACAGAAGGTGCTCATGGTCTTTATTGTCACTTTTCCCTGATTCACTAGTCTGAGTTACTAGTAACTAGGAATGCTAGTTTGGCTGATTCACTAGTAACTAAAGATGAAAAGCCTGAGCTGTCCTAAACACATGAAAGACTGTTACCTGCTGCCTTCAGTCTAGAAAGCTCTTCTTCCTTCACACACTAGGCTGACTGCAGAGATCTAAGCATGGGCTATATGGTAGCTGTCACAGCATCAAAGCTTCTTCTGACACTTTTCTGTTTTTGTTTTTCATTTCTGAAAAATTTCTTTTTCTGACTTCTGTTTCTCTTCACCACCTCAAAGTTTTCAGTCTTTCCTTAACGGCATGCAGCTGCATTTGCATTCCAGCTTTGGCCCACATCTTGCAGATGTGTGCCTGTGACAGATTTATCTCCTTTCAGACAGAGCATCCCTTTCCTTAGGTGGGTAGGATGTTTGCTTCATCCAGCAAGACCCTTGAGTTCCTTTGGTATGCTCACAAAACACATGTGAACTCAAATCCCAAATCCCAGACAAATGGACTGCACATTGCAAGCTAAGCTGGATGCCCTTAAAGATGCTATTAATAACTTTATAAGTAGTCGTAACTCTAAAGGTGGTGATAGATGAACTTCAAAATGGACTAGAACGACACCTTTTGCTTTGGGTGTTTTGCTCAAATTGTTCAAATATCAGTGAAATCCTTTTATTTGTTTGTTTTTTTTTTAAGTTGTGCTTCCCCAGGGCTGTCCCAGCTGCCTCAACCTTGTTCCCTTTGATTGCCAACAGAGGCATTTTTCTTCGTTTCCAAGCCTAGATTTCTCTGCTTAGTCACAGAGAAGGTCTGCAGACCACATGTCTAATGGTAAACCTTTTGTTGGGCTTTCCTTGGTGGATGGCTGGGGACTGAAATGACATTACTGGTATGTGTCTGTTTGTTGTGCCCCAGAATGAATATCCAGGAGTTAGAAAAGACAGTGATTTTTTTCTTCAAAGCTGTTTGCATAATCAGGGTGTCAAATTTCTAGTTTCAAAGTGACTCAGACCTTGAGGAGCCTAATTGAAATATTAGAAAGTGCAGTGAAGCATTGTCCAGAGCCATGCCATCGAGCTCTCTCTGAGCTTGGTTGCGGTGTGAAAATAACACAGCATATTCCCGCATTGAGGGGTCAGTGTAGATGCCAGTAAACAGTTTAGCACAAAAGGCAAGACTGGTTTTATGCAGCGATGGTGTTTGTGCACCAGCTTCTTTGCTCAGTGCAGATCTACCAAAATCTCAGTTCAAAGCAGCAGGAAATTAATGCTAAAACTGCTTGCCATGCATGTTTTTCAAAACTTTTTCCTGTGACAATGAGCGTGTCCAGGTAAAGTCCCTGGACATGAGGCACTCTGTGTTGAAGAGCTGGAAAATGTGTTCCTTAAGGAAAAGATGAACATGGACAGAGACAGTGTTGAAGCTGTAGAGGGAGAGAGTATAGCAGATGGGATAGGGAGATCTTGCAGCCTTTATTTGAATACCTATACTTCTTCTGGGATTGTGCCAGATTTGGAGGTGCATCTGTAGCCCAGATCAGTTTATGTTTCAGCCATAATGAGTTGGGACGATTTCTACTCTGATTTCTATCTCTCCTCTCCAAAGCCACTAACCAGTTGCTGGAAACCCTGCCAGTGTTCCCTTTTACAGGTATAGAAGCAGAAATTCATCTCTCTTCACTTATACTGCCATGGAACTAGCATATCCATAAAATGCCATCTTAACATAAACCTGACAAGAGCAACAAATGCTGCCTTAGTCCTTGGGCAGCAGTACAGAATTAATCTGCCAGCATGCTTTTGAACTATATAGCTTTGATCATATTAAACATTGCTGAGTTCAAAACCATCACTTTCTTTTTCCTATACGTATGTCCATAGACTGAGAGCAGGCATTAGCAAACACTTTGGGAGACAGGAATGTGTCAGATTGGTACTAAGAATGCAGGCACTAATGCAGCAAATAAAAATACATATGAAGGAGGTATTAAAGTGCACAGAATTCATGCAGTATCTCTAAAAGGCAACAGGACCATTGATGGGTAAGAGAGAAGTTGTTTTTGGTGGGTTTGAACAGATGTCAGGGAAGTTATCTCAGGAGGTAGCTGCTCCACTGCTTAAATCCCTAGCCTCAGCATGCTCTTCCTGCTGTGAGTATAGCACAAGGGCTATCCACACAAGGTTGATAGTGAGACATAGGACCAGGACATGCCCTGCATCACTCAACTGCACGTGCTGGTTGGCATTAGTTGTGTGACACTGTCCCGAAACTGCTCTGACTCTTTGGTGCCAGGAAGATGTGACATGCATGACATGAAATACAGAGCTTGCAGCCCAGCTTGCCCTGGGAAGCTGGAAGGCAGCCACAACTCTGGTTGTTGTGATAAAACTCTGTTGTAAGGTATTCAATTGCAGGAAAGGCAGGTAGAGCCAGGACTTGAAGAGAGATAGGAATAATTTTGAGGAATTGCCTAGAGAAACCAGGAGAAAGAATGGAAAGGGAGAGAAAAGCATCAATATTCTGTGGAGAAAGATTTCTCCATTTACAACTGAATGCCCATCTCAAACTTTTTGAAGTTCATCTGCTTCTGCAACGAATCAGAATATATAGCATGTGGATGAAGCCATACACTCCTTCTGGACTAGTGCTGCATCAGTGAGACAGGTTTGGGGGATTCAGCATCTGCCCTGTGTACTTTTATCTATGTCCCTGAGCTCCATGAGTCAGGCATAGTTTGGGAGCTGGTCTGTGATTCTCACTCATGAGAGACTCACAAATAAATACTTTGTGGTCCTGATCCCCAAGACACAGTCCCTGTCACAACAGCATGACACTCATGCATAACTGGTACGCAATGAGCTGGCACATCCCAAATTCCAAAATAACTCAATTGGGATAGGCCGTGAGAGCCTAGCAGCTGTGTTGTGTGGGAGACTTGTTTAATTTCAGCTTTCTTCTCTGTCCCTCTCTGTCAACACTGACACTCTCTGCACATGCTTCCCTCTAACAACAGTACAGCAGTTTTCCCTGGAACATCCTGCGGATCATTGTAGGGATAATAACTTTAAGAAGCTTGCCATACACAACTGCTCACTGTCGCCTCAGCAGCTGCTCACCACCCTGCAATGCTTCTTGCCATTCTGTCTACATAGTGACTCTTAGGAGAGTCTCTGCTAGTAGCAGCCAGCCCATCTCAACCTTTTCTGTCTGGTGCTTCTAGCAGGTGAGAAGGAAGGAAATAGGCAGAGGAGGAAAGGAGTTTGACTGGCTGCTTGAAGACCCAGACAAAAAAATAGAGCCAGAATGATAACATTGCAGGTGCCTGGTTAAAACGAAGCACAGAGTAAATATATGTGTGAAGCCTTTAACTTTTTTTTTCCATTCATCACAATGCGCTTTTAATTTCTGACCTTAGCCTCAAGAATGGTGCCAGACTTGTTCTGTGATTTCTCCCCTTTTCCCCCTCCAGATGTCCAAATGGATTCTTCGGACAGAGATGTTTGGAGAAACTGCCTTTGCGATTGTACATGCCAGATCCTAAGCAAAGTATGTTTGAAGACAAAAAATGCACCACACTACTTAAAACCTCCTGGGCACAACGTTGGATGTAGAGTGGTCTAGTCAGGGATGGCTTTTGGTATCAGCCTTGGGCTAGGGCTTAGGGACGCAGGTAAGGGCATAGGCTGAAAGCAGATGGATAGGCGTCATGGAAGGGATCAGAAGGGGCCTCGATTCAGTCTGTTTGGATGTCATTTTGCTATCTTGTTTCTCTCTTTCTGGTTTTCTTTCTTCCGGTAGGTGTCCGATCGAATTCACAGGAGACCGGTGTCAGCATTTCGCAATGGTCAGCTTCTCCAGTATGTCTCTAAGGTTCTTCTGTTCTCCAAGAGCCCTGTTTCTGTCTTGTGTGCTCTCAGCTCTGCTTGGCCTTAAGGGGAGCTTTGACAGTTGCCAAGATGAGAATTAGGGCTCTTGTTATTGCCCCATCTGTTAGAATGGGTTCTGCTTTCATTTGCAGTTGAACACAATGTTTCTTGCTCTTTTCATGCAAAATACATATAAGGCACAAGGTTAAGTGGTGGGCTATGTGAGAACAGCCTGTGTAATAAGCTGTATCTGCTAGTTTTGCTGTCTCAAGATGGACAATGTTATGCCATGCAAGAGATTTGCAGTTTCCTCTGATTCTTGCACAGGGGATGAGTGAGTGTCTCTGTACCAACTGGGGAATTGCAGCTAGGGCTGTCCTGAAATCTCCTCTGAGGTGTGATTGTGTTCCCACTTGCAGAATCTAAACCACTTTGTACAAGTGAAGTTTTTGAAAGTTTGCCTGGAGTCAAATCCTGGAGCACATCTAGGGGCTGAGATGTACAGAGTCCCAGAGATGCTTCAGGAGGCTGCCAGTGCATCGGTCTCCCTCTCCTCTGCCCTGGACTATACTGGCAAAATTTCCTGGATGGGCATCTCAGATTGCATCCCTCCCAGGCATAGAAGTGTTCCTGTGTCTCCTGGGGAGGTAGAACAGCCATCCATATGGGGTTACACCTGACTTGGTAAATGCAGAGCCCCTGCATTTAGTGTTCTCTGGCATCTAGTCCTCAGTTTCCAGGAGCCTTAGGTCTTCAGAGATGTTTTGCTTGTAGGAGGTGCTTCCTCCAAGGGAGATATTTTTTGCCAGGTCAATATTCAGGCAGGGTCCCAGCATCAGGGACATCCTTGTGCAGGTAAGGACTAAGCCAAAACAAGGCACAGCCATCTGTCTGCAGTTACAACAGAGGCGATCAGCCACAGTGATCATCTGTATGCATTACTGGTGGTAATTCAAGTGACCAGCATAGAGATAGTGTGCACAAAGAGCCTTTAATTAGTGGGAACCTGAGGAGAAAGCCCCCCCTGTCCTACCCCATGAGATCTATGTGGATGCCAGCACCCCTTCTCCTACCCCTCTTTAAATCCTACAGTACCTCATCCAGAACTGGCAATAGCAGGAGTCCTGTTATCATGGGCTAATGAGTTGCAAGGGTTGTTAAATCCACTTCTGCAGTATATACAAACAAGATGCAAGTGGGCTTTGTGAGCCCGTTGAGAAAGCTGGATGTTTTTATGTTGGCTTTTGTTCCAAATTATCTTCCAAAGTCGAAATCTCAATTGATTTGTTTTTACAGACTAAAACTTCCAAATGAGCTTCTTTTTAAAGTGACAATACAATATAGTAGGTTTTGATCCCTTAGCCTAATCTAAAGGGTTTCCTTTCCATTCTGTACCCCAGGAGGTCAACTGCCACACAGCTTTGGGAGGCTCACCATGCACTGCACTGCTCAGTTGAAGTTGACTTTGGCGTGTCTTGTAAGGTAGTCTCCAAAAGGCTCAAACATTATCACTATCATGCCACAAAACCAAAAGAAGAGTGATTTTTTTTTTTTGTCAAGGGAGTGCTTATCAGATCTTTAATGGTAAGAATAAATAGTATGTGTTTTTTTTTTTTCTCCAGCCTGCAGAATTCAGCTTTCTGTGGAATGAGGTTTGTTTAAATTATATTCATATGTTAGTGGAACAATGTCAGCTTTAAAACAAATGTATGTGTGTCTTCTTACCTCAATTACTGCTTTAACCAAAGGATAGTAAGGTAACACATCTTAACAATCCAGGTTACCTGCCTGAACTTGGATAAAAATAATTTAAGATGATTCATATCTGTTTATAGCTGTTTTCACTTTCAAATCACAGTTGGGTAACATTTGTAACAGCAACATTGCAGAAAAAACATGCACAGGGCTTCCTTGTCTTCTAAATAGGAAAGGCACTTCCCTTGAGTCTGGTTTGTGTCTTTAATTGATGATTAGAAGTTGGTGCTGTCTCTGCGATTCTCTGTCTGCTTCATCCCATATGGGTTCTGACCAATCAAAAGCTGAAACAGATTAAATCAGTTAGTTCTATGGCAAATATAATAGCTCTGTCCTGATTCATGTTTCAAGAACAATGTCAGTCTAACAAATACCTGAAAAGTGAATAGTGACAGTGCCCTGCTGTTGTATTAAATGCATTTGGGGGAGTTTATGTGTTCGGGCCTAAATTGGCACTTTTTGGTTGTGGAACATATATGTTAAATATCACATCATGGCTGTCAGCAGGTATATCCGGGGGCCGATGGTGAGTCTCTTCAAAGAGAACTAAATTTAAGATGTGGTTCTGATAGAATATGGCAGATGTTTTGCAGAACACTGGCCAGTGGCAGAGATAGTTGCATTCCTCCCAGCATCGTGCCACATGTTGTATGCCTTCTAGCAGCAACCTCATATCTCCATAGTTTAAATTGATACTCAGTCTGTGCAGATCTTGTTCAGTTAAAACTCTGGGTGTTCGGGATGTCGCTGTCTATCTGGCAGGGAGCATGGGAAGTGTTTTTCTCTTATTGCCAGAGATGCCTGCTAGACTACTATGATTATGAGGACAAAAAAGCAGATGTGCTTAGATTGTTTTTGTCAACTTTCTCTTTGTTGCTGTTACAATCATATGGCTGGTATCTACTGTCAGATATTTTAGGTATATACCCTACTGCTTGAAAAAGAAAACAAAATGTTAAAGAGGATTTTTTTTCCAGCTGTGTTTTTACTGCTTCATTTTCTCCCAGATTGGTACAGAGGAACTCACTGGGAACTGTGTTATTGTGCTGGCTTGGAGACCTCGCAGTCTGTCCCAACTCAGCCCTTATTTGGATGAACAGCACTTCACTTTGGCAGGAATTTGCATGAGCAAAATTCAAGCAAGAATCTCAGTAGTTCATTCTTATGTGAATATACAGAGTTTACATTTTACTTTGCTTGTATTATAATGCATATATAATGTGAAATGTGTTGAGATACTGGAGCAAAAATGTGAAGCATGCTAAAACACCTACTTATGTGAGGAAATGGATGCACACTGCAAACAGACAACATCACTCTGGCCTAGCAAGGTACAACTTCTGATTAGAGCTGTGATGCCTGACTGTGTCAGCTCTTTAAGTCTGCTTTAATGCTAAGTCTGCATTACTTTATGCCACTATGATGGTCTGTTTCCCAGCAAGACTCATAGCATAGGGACGTCTTAGGGACACGTTCTGTTTTCTGCTGTAGTGGCTCTGTGAGTACACAGTTGGCTACCCCTGGTCATCTGGTAGACAGTAACATGCTAAGCTGCAGCAATGCAGTTACAAGCCTTTGAGCTACTGACCCATGCTAATCACATGTCCAGTGAGAATGGGCAGAGTCTTACAGAAGAACTTAAGGGTGTTTGGTTTATCACTGGTCTGTTTTACTAGCATATGATAGAAGGCTTCCCCACATTCATAAAAATAGAAAACCCAAAAGAAGGAGGAGAGAGAGATGCCAAAAGAAAAAGAACTTCATATCCATTGAGATTAAATTAACTGAAAGTAAAACCCATCCTGACACTCTGTTAAGCCTCACTTGGTCCCCTGTATCTGTATGAAATGCTACTGACCACACTGAGTCTCTGTACATTCCACTATCCACCCAAGAAGACCTGTCTGATTAAGACTGGAAAATAAAGTTGTCTGGGCTTTAAATAACCTGTGAGATGAAAGGGTTACTCTGTAGAGGCTGTAAAATATAACTGAGAAACATTTAAGAAACATTTAAAGCAGTTTTAATTTAGACTGAAGGAGAATTAATGTCTGTGAATAAAACAGTGGTTGCCTGCAAATACTGCATAAAACAGGGACTATACTGGTAGATGAATATATAGGAAACTATCTCTATGAGTTGTGAAGCATTAAATCATCTTGCTAAAATATATTTTTTTTTCATATCAAGCACAGTACGCTTCTCTGTCTCGACACAGATGTAGTTAATTATTAGCAGAGTATATATATGATGGTACATGGCCATTGAATCCCGGAGAAGGGGATGTATGCAGCTACAGTCATATCCTCTGCTAGTTTACAGGGCTTAGATCTTGCAACGCCAATGTAACCAGAAGGCTGTGTGATCATAGCTCCGAAACATGGTCTTAAAGCAGGGTGGAGGTACACACAGAGTCAGGTCACAGGTATCTCTCTCAGGCTGTCCACTAATGGGAACAGAAGTTGGATACACTGACCTGTTGACCCACAGTCTGAATGAAAACACAGCACTGCTATCTAGGGACTCTTTTGCAACCTAAGTGGCTAAAGTTTCTGCTCTGAAATTAAAAGCTCTAACCTTCAAGCCCAAATTGCTCTCTTAGGTATGATTATTTGGCTTCTAAAGACACCAGAACAATGCCTGCAGCCAATGGGCTTTTAGTGTCAGGGGATTCTTCCTGTGGGCAGTAGTTGGATTTACACCAAAGTCTGATTTCCTTGCACAGGGAAATCCAGTAAAAATGGCTTTTTAAAGAATAACACAGTCTTTAAGTATACTCTTCTCCAGCCTTGGCTTTAATTCTGGTGAACTGCGAATTGTCTCAGCCAGTAGTAGAATGTTGTCTGTGGTATCAGCCCCTGATTCATTTTTTTAAGCAACTGGAAGCAGATATTTTTCATTTATTTCTTGTCTATATCTTTTGGG